TCCTTTTTCTTTGTCCCCTCCTCCATTGAGATCGCGACATCGGGTTCTTCCCCTTGTAATTCTCATAGACATGTGCAGTTTTGGAGGATTGAAAATCCTTGCGATAGGTGATTGAAGAACCATGATTGACGTCGAAGTTCTTCCATTTTTGTTGTCCCTTCTGTCTATCCTCATTAGGCCTGACCCATTTGTCGTTAGAAATTTCAGCAAACAGCTTAAAGCTAGCAGGCCTTGCTCCTGGGGCTCTAGCATTAGACCTATATTTTCTTGGGACGATGCTTCGAGGCCCATAGTTGGCCTTCTCCCACTTCTGTTTCGCCTTTCGTACCCCTTCGAGTTTCTGGGCAGCCTTCTGGTCGAAGATATCGCTACATCTAGGGCACAACATGACACCAGACCCTTTCCTTTGGCAGCGATGAAGGAATTCAACAATGGTCTCTTCTTGTCTTGGATATGCCACTTTGTTGCGCTCTTCCTGGCAACTTAGATCATCGTCTTACATGGTCTTATGTGGAGTTATTTCAACCATATTTACGTCCATGTCGACGTCACCACTCAAGTTCAGACTATAGAAGCCCAACTCAAGGCTTTCAGCAGCCCTATCCATCCTAGTAAAACCATCTGCAGCTTCTTTAGTTACCAGCATCAGGTTGGAATCTTCTGTGTCCCTATCACTAGAGTCATCAACAACTTTGTCGAGGCCTTCAACAGCCTCATTCATGGGTTTTTCTGTGGTATTATTCCCAAGGCCTATAGTGACCTTGGCTAGAACAGTATCATTGGCGAAATCTTCAGTAATTTCCACCATATTAGTCGAATAGTCGAAGCCATTAGTAACTTCGACCATGTGTACTTTTGTGGGCTCAGCATAGTGGGCATCCACCGCTTGCAATGGATCAGAGTCAATTTTCATCTGAGTATTGCTTTTCTCTCTAAACTTCAATCTTCTTTCTTGGATAGCAGTCTGAACCAAATCCCTGAAAAGAAAACATTGAGAGGTTTTATGACCCAAAAAATTGTGGTACTTACAAAATCCTCTCTTTTTTCTTTGTTCTAAAGGTGACATTTTAGCGCCAACAGGTACTATCATTTGCCCATCTTTAACTAACAAATAAAAAATTTCATCACATTTAGTGATATCGAAAGTATAAGTTTTCTTTGGAAACTTATCATTCTTTTTAGATTCGACAAAATGTTTCCCATTTGGAGGAGCTAACATTTTACAAGCATATGGAGGACCCTGCTTTAATTCAGCAACATTTATCTCGTTCTCGTCGAAATACAATGGTTCATCATGTAAACCTTCGATATTCTCATTATATTCGACATAAGCTACTTTCTTACTCTTATTAAACTTGGCCTTTTTGTCTTTCAGACGCTCTAACTGTCGAACCCTATCAGCTAGTTAGGTCATATCTCTCATATACTAGGTATCTAATTTCTTCCTAATAGAGTAATCAAGGCCACCAACGGCCATTTCGACTAACTCATGTTCAGGCACTTGAGTAAAACACTTAGCCTTAAGTAGTCCGAACCTATTTAGGTAATCTTCTACTGGCTCAGAAAACTTTTGTTTTATGCTAGCCAATTCCTTCAAACTAATCTTGGTTTGTCCCATATAGAATTGTTCATGGAATAAACGTTCCAACTGGGTCCAATTACAAATTGAGTTAGGGGGTAGGGTTGTAAACCAGGTGAAAGCATTTTTAGTGAGAGAGCTTGGAAAATATTTTATCCTAAGACTCTCATCATTTGCAATCTCTGCAGCCTCGATCATATACCAGGCTACGTGTTCGACAGTAGATTTAGTCGTATCTCCTGAAAACTTGGTAAACTTTGGCACCTTCGTCCTAGGAGGTAATTCTGACTGAAGAATATAATCTACTATTGGTGACGTATAATTTGGCCTAGTAAAACCGAAGTTTACCCCATTTTGAGCCATTATTCTTTCGACCATGGCTGCTAAGTTGTTATCGACGACTATGTTGTTACGTTGAACCTGTTGTATGACACGGTCAACATCTTGGTTTTGATTCACCATGATCACCTCTAGCTTTCTCTCTTCCGAAATTGGTGCTTGGCCCCTAGGTGGTTCGACCCTAGGAGGTTCGATTCTAAGGGGTTCGACCTTCCCTTGATTTTCTAGATTCGCCTCAGGTACGTTCCCTAAGTCCTGTCGTGGAATGTTTTCCATAATAATTGTGGTTTTGACAGCGGCTGGTACACCCATAAATTCTGCCAGGGGTGCTAATTGCACTGCTAATTGTTGGTTAATCTGAATAGTATTTTAGATCAAGGGCTGGAAGATTTTCCCCATGGTTTGGGATAAGGTTTATACCATTTACAGGTTGCTCTCATCCATTTTCTATCTCAAACAAGCTATTGAAATGTTTGTCAAATTAGGGTCCTGAGTGGAGTACCCCACACCTACACTTTGACTGTTTCGACCAACATTTATCCCAGATCCTGATCCTTGTAACGGTGAAGCCATCACATTTTTTGAGAATACTGGGGGAGCATTTTAGAGGCCTTGCATTACTGACGGTGTCATTCCATACGGTGGGTTTCTTGGTAATGGTTGTGAAAACTCTGGAGGGACAAAATTTCTAAACGTCAAAGTTCCCTCTGGCGGAGTTTGAGGATTGGATGCTTGTGGCCCGACATACTCCAAAATAGGCTGAGTGTAGGCCCTTATATCTGTCGACCCCGAACCCATCACTGGTGGCACTGGTTCAGGCATAACAGGAGGCGGTATCTGCTCTCCTGTCGAAGGGACTGAGGGTGGAACTACATCATTCCTAGACACGTCTCGAGGATTAGTGTTACTAGGTTGGGGATTAGAACCATTCCCTCAAAGGTTTGGGTTATTTGGCTGATTAACATTTGTCGCCATTTCCCTAGTGTAGTTTCTCCTTGGTCTTTCTTGGTTTGTAGCGGCTATTTTGCCACTTCTTAATAACATGCAATGAAGTTTTCTCAACGATAACACTAACAATTGCAATTTTGCAAAACTTTTACAAAAAAATTTATAAACTTTAGCACTGTCCCACTGGGTGTGCCAATTTGTTTCCCGTGAAAATTAGAAAACAACCACTGATCTTCCAAATCTAACTTTGGTAACTCACAAGATCGATCAGATTGATCCTCGGACATGTGCTAAATTTTAATCTACAGAAAATACTAAAGGCTAAACACTTCGACAGTGTTCATGAAGAAAGGTCAATTTAAATGTATGGTTCGGTAAGAATGTAAGAACGTTAAACTGAAAGAAAAGGTAAACAACTTTGACGAAAAAAGGTTAAAAGAGACAAAAACGTAACACTAAAGATGTAAATTGCAGGAAAATAAAGGATGAACTCTTTTTAATATAAAGTGAAAGTAAATTTCGTTAAAGCATAAAATGGTGTTTTTACATTACGTACATTCTCCCAGGACTTTTTTCTCTACACACAGATACTTTGAGTAAATTTGGAGTGACTTGTACAATAGTAAACATAACACACCGAATCCTATTGCTAGAACCCTTATTTATAATAGTAAAAATAACTGCTGTTAACTGCTCAAAACAATCAGCCCCTAACAAGTGTCGTGCTGCATGCAATTGCCTCTTGGATGTACGCCACTTGTCTCATTCAGGAATGAGAAAGCATAACTACTCCCTCCTTTATTTGAATTTCAAATTCTACTAGTATTTGGCCATCGTTCTCGGTCGAAGGTGACTTCTTTAACCTTAAAAATATTTTATAAGTCCCAAAAAGTCTTCCTTTCTTATGTGAGTGCCTTCGATTTCATTTATTGTAAAGAACCGCTAGAAAGGCTTCTCCACATTACCTCGAAAGTTCAAGATTTCAACCAAACACTCTAATTTAGTGTGGGCGTAGAATTTGTGAGCTAACAATCCCGCCTACGTTACAAACGATGTTATCCATAGGCAAACTCTCTGCTGCGTCGAGCTTCCTTCGAACACCTTTCACTGCCTGTTCTTCTGTTGGAGTCAGGGGGAAAATCTGACGACTTGTTCTTCATAGGCAAGTTCAGAATATTCATGAATTTCTCTTCTGATTTTCTTAATTCACTTCACTGTGTTGGGATTATTTACAATCTCAAGAATCTGATTTTTCAGCGAAGCACTGTGGTTTGTGTTAAATTTGAAAGATAGACATGTGAGATTGAAGAAGAACAAGAAGAGTGAAAAAAGAGAAGAAAATCTAAGAAGAAGAGAGAAGAAGGTGGCTGCTAGGGTTTTGGAGAAGAAATTTGAGAAAGAGAGAAATATAAATTAAAAATAATAATAATAATAATGATAATAACAAATAATGTAACTTATGCACGTTATTTTATATGTTTAACAATAAATAATAATAAATTGATAATAAACAAAACGAAAAGTCAGATAAAAGAACACACTGTCAAATAAACTGTCACGTATGCACATTTAACCTTTTTTTCTCAAAATTTAACGCAATGAATTAATTTGACTAACAAAACTGTTTTAAGAAATCATTATATAATATTTTTTTAAGTGAGAGACCATAGCAAAATAATAATTTAAATTAAGCGACAAAAAGTTGAATTAAACCTAAAATAAATAAATAAATAAATAAATAAATAAATAAATAAATAAATAAATAAATGTAAAGGGAGAGCGAAAGAAAGGGGATGGTAACTTCTAAAATATTTTTTTGTGATAAAAAAAGTTGATTGAAAAGAAGAACACGCAACAACAGGGGCTTCCCCACACCATCCTCTCCCGACAAACAAAACCAGCCCATTCTTGTTCCTTCACCACCGAACAGAACACACCCCTCTTCCTTCACCACCTCTCTCTAACTTGCGCCTCATTCTTAACCTACGCACTCTCCCTCTTTCTTTTCCATAAACTTCTATTAACCCTTCTCTCTCTTTCTCTATTATTCTGCTGCGAGATTCATATCACCACCCCCATTGGATTAGGTTCCGGTGTTGGGGGTATTAGGGTTAGGGTTTCTGAGAGATGTGGGATGCTTCAGCCATTGATGAATCTTCTCTCTCCATGTTGGAAGCCGTTCGGGCACGGTGACGATTCTTCAGCAGGCATTGTTGGAAGAGAAGGCAAAGACGGATTGCTTTGGTTTCGTGACATCGGAAGATATGGCTCCGGTGAATTCTCTATGGCTGTTGTTCAGGCCAATCAAATCCTTGAAGATCAGAGCCAGATCGAATCTGGCCCGCTTGGAACGTTTGTCGGCGTTTACGACGGTCACGGTGGACCCGACGCAGCGCGTTACGTTTGCGATCACTTGTTCCGCAATTTTCAAGGTTTTTTATTCTCTCTTATGTAGGGTTAGTTCAATTCTTTTTCGGTGATTTTCTGTGATTTTCACGATTTTCACGGATTCGCTTTCCCGTGATCATTTTTAATTATTTTTGCGTTTTCACGTGAATCAAATAGTGGTTAAAAATTTCACGTAGATACTGTTTTTGATACGTTTAATTGCTCTTATTTTGGTAGGTTTGATTTTAATGTAGTAAAAGTGTTAATGATTTTTCTTCATGTGTTTATTAAGCTGGCTCTTGTTATTTAGCTGTGTTGGGTTGAATTGAACTATCTTGTTTGTGCAGCGGCATCAAGTGAGTCACAGGGTGTTGTGACAGCCGAGACAATTCAAACCGCTTTTCGTTCGACTGAAGAGGGGTTTACTGCCATGGTTGCTGATTTGTGGAATACTCGACCTCAAGTTGCAACTACCGGAACATGTTGTTTGGTTGGAGTGATTTTTCAGCAGACACTTTTTGTGGCAAATCTAGGAGATTCCCGTGTTGTGTTGGGAAAGAAAGTTGGGAATACCGGTGGGGTTGCGGCAATTCAGCTGTCGACGGAACATAATGCGAATCTTGAGGCCGTTAGACATGAACTTAAAGAATTACACCCTCATGATCCTCAGATTGTTGTTCTCAAGCATGGAGTGTGGAGAGTAAAAGGCATTATTCAGGTAAATTTTATGTTATTGAATCATTGATGGTCTATTAGGCATCTGTTGATTGCTTTAGTTCTTTGTTTTCTGATTTTCTACTTGAAGTGGTGTGTGATAGACACTTTTGTTTTGTGTTGTGATAATAGGTTGTTGTGTTTTCCCCATTTCATGTTATCTCTACTCAATTCTCCCCCTCAATTATCTTCTGCAATATTGTTGCCAGAAGTTCCTCCTAAATACCTAAGTAAATAAGAAGTTTTTCAAGGAGATTTATGATTACAGTAACTTTCTTCTATTTCCTTCTTAGTTGTTTGTTGGTTCAGAAAAGAAAAGTAACTAGTGACTCTTGCTGTACTGATTCTCCTCTCACAAATTTAACCATTTTAAATTGCTAAAGCATTGTGACATGTAGTTCCATATAAAGGATGCTAAGCAGACTTGGGAAGTATAGTAAATGATGATCGGTGATAATGTTCAAAATTCAATTTAACAGTCCAGTGTAAAGTATCATGCTAAACTGTTGATTTGATTGCAGCATAGGATATTACTATAAATGTTATTGAGTGTCTTGTTCGTAGGCATGTTTACAAATGACAAGTTTAGGCACACAAAAATTGAACATAAAATTCATTTGCCTGGTTTAGGCTTAAGAGCTGTCATATTGCCTTTCTAAATCTGATATTTTTGTGCATTTGATTCAGTACACAAGACATGATACACTTTTATGTACAGAGCATTTGATTCAGTACACAGATGACAAGTTTATGTACAGAGCAAGACATAAAAGATTAACATGTACATTTTACTAGGAGTGCTAGGAACATTCTCTTTTCAAGACTCTCTTAACACTCGTTCTCTTAAGGGGTGAAACACACATGAGTCCCACTATTTTATCTGAGACCCATTTCTAAAGCATGGGACCCACATGGGTTTCACTCAATAAGAGAATAAGTGTTAGAGAGAGTGTTGAAAAAAACACTAATGAGTGTTCCTAGCACTTCTCATTTTATACATTTATTTATTTATTTTGTCAAGTGTAATATATTTCATTTTGGAATTCAAAAAGAGTTTTAGTCTTGATTTGGATGACTATTAAAAATGCTTAGATAAAGGAACAAACATGTAAATATCATACATTATATATTGTGGCATATTGACGAAGAATTCATTCAGACATGTTAGATTAGTAGTATATAAAGCAGTTCCTATCCTATTATATTGATTGGAGGATATATGTGCCAGCAACTAACAACAGTGCATGAATTTTAAGCACGGCATCTGTGGAAAATTTTGACTGATTCATGCCAACTCTGAGACACACTTTAAGCATAGAATGTCTGACAACACTATAGGTCTTGTTCTCTTTTAAAGGAATTTTGATTGTTTGAATTTGAGGGGAAAATGGGTATGGAAAAATAAAGAGAAATTGAGATGACTTTCTACATTGGTTTGATGAATGAAAACAGAAAAGAAAGAAGTGCTAAATTTTTTGACCCCTTGTTTGGTTGGATGGTAAAAATAAGAAAGAAAATATATTTATTTTATATTTTATTTCCTTTTAGTTCATGTTTGGATGCACGGATGCACATGGCACGGAAAATTTATATGCTATTGTACCACAAAGTTTTGATATCATGAGGCTGCTTGCAGCAATGGATGTTTCACAGCTGGTTGAGAATGTGAAAATTGGTTTTCCTTAGGATATACATGATTTTATTATGTATGGTTTGATTGTATTAGAACTGATTTTGCCTCCAAAAAAGTTAGTTTTCCTAGAAGTATAAATATTAGCTTTTATGTTGATGTGTATTTTGTACTAAGTTTTATGTCAAACTTGCTTTTTGAATAAACGTATTCAAGCATAAATTACTTTACTTCAAAGTTTAGTTCATAGGCGAATTTGGTGCACATGGCACGGAAAATTTATATGCTATTGTACCACAAAATTTTGATATCATGAGGCTGCTTGCAGCAATGGATGTTTCATAGCAAAACACTACAAGGAACTTTCATTTGATTGATTGAAACAATGATTGTTATGTCTCATAATTTACATGGGGGTGCGGCTGTTAAATCTTATAATATTTTTCAAGTTTCAAAAGATCAGAAGCTGTGAGAGATAATTTTTTTATTTGAAATTTTTAATTATTTTATAATGGGTGTAATGAGAAATTGATACACAAGATGTGTTTTTACTTTGCTTGCTGTTCTGTTTTTCAGAACACTGGTAAAACAGTGTTTCAGGTATGGCTTCTGTGAAAATAGAAGAAGCTATTCCAATTTTATGTCACAGTTATGTATGAGTTAAATGAATATGGTGGCAACGTCAAGCTTTTAGATATGCCTTGTAGTTTAATCCTGTGCAGTTTTTTAATTTGATTTATGAAAAATGTTTCATTTTTCCCAAGTAGCTCTTATAAGTTATTACCGTTATATTATTTGTTAGCCTTGCTTTTCTTACACTGATTTAATGACAATATCACTCAATTACTTCCATGATATTTGGTGCAGGTTTCTAGATCTATAGGGGACGTATATATGAAACATGCACAGTTTAACCGGGAACCGATTAATCCGAAGTTCAGACTTCCTGAGCCAATGAACATGCCTATCTTGTCTGCTAATCCATCTATTCTTTCTCATCCTCTCCAACCAAATGATTCCTTCCTTATATTTGCATCAGATGGTTTATGGGAGCACCTAAATAATGATCAAGCAGTCGAGATTGTTCACAGAAGTCCACGAGCGGTAAGATTCTTTACTTTGTTTTTTTTTTCTTTTTCTTACAGCACTTATGTTTGTACTCTTGGTACTTAGTTTCCTTATATTCAGTTTGTATCACTAAATGCATTGTTTTTACTGTGTTGTTTTGTACTCAATTAAACCCATCAATTGAATCATGACCATAGCTCAGGTTATCTCCCTCGTAATATTACAGTGAAACGAACAGTGTCTATTAATGTTGCCAAATCAAAATCCTATTTAGGATTGGGAGGGAGGGAGGTTGAAAACCCGTCAATAGTAAAATGGAAAAGTTACATAGATAGTAAAATTAACCTTCAAATCAAAGCATTTTACTAAATTGAAAATTCATAATCATACTCAGAAGGCCACATAGAGCTCATACTGAGCCCATTAAGTTTTTTTGAGAAGCCAAATGTCTAAAACAAAGAATAGCAAGAGGCAGCAAGGCAGTAAGCTTGAAGGCAGAAAAAGTGGTGGATGAGACTGAGTGACGTTTTTTTCAACTTCGAGCCTGTTTGGATTTGCTTGTTTAAGCTTATCTACTGAGATGAATTTTGTGACACCATTTGGCAGACCTTATCAAAACAGCTTACAACATTTTTTATAACTTTGCAATTATTTTTGTAGATTCTGCAAGATAGCTTATGAAAAAAACATATCATATTTAAAAACAATTTAGCTTTATTTATCTTTTGTTCTATAAATAGCTTGTGCAAGCTTATTCATAATCGTTTATTTTGATAAGCACTTGTGCCATAAGCTGCAAATAAGCTGTTTATTCAATCAGACCCTTTGTATAGCCAGTCACTTGTTTTTACTAAAAACTGTGATATAGGATAGATTATGCTTTATCTATTATGAGCTGGAGTAGGATGGATATGCTTGATTCTTACCCAGCCTTAAAACTTGATGAGGTCAAATCTTGTTCAATTAAGACTGGTTCATGTAGGACGAGAATGAGTTGATTCTAAATACAGGATAGTATAGTAATGTCTAAAATACTCATGCAATTAGTAAATATATTACTTTACATTAGAGTTTCTCCCAATATCAGTGATGATTGACTTGATTATAATCTTCGGATATAGTTAGGATATATATTAATATATATATTCAAATAATTGAAAATATGGAACAGAATAAAACTATATATATTCAAATAACTGAAAATATGGAACAGAATAAAACTATGTCAGACATGGAGCGATTAGGGTAATTTGAAATCCGACTTGAACTTGTTCTAACCTGATGTTGGGTTATAACACAGGTCACTACTCTGAACCTAGTTCCGTTGTAAGACAAGATCAAACCCGGTCTTAAATGCTCACCTCTGTTAGGATCTTTTCTGAGTTAGAAAGAATTCCCAGAACAGAACAATATTGAGTAATCAAAAGAATGATGATCAGAGGGACTGGAATTCTTTATTTTATTTACAGCAATAGGAAAAGGGAATGTACAGACTATTCTCAAAGAGGCACTCTCCTTCACACTGGATTACCCGGTCATAAAACTCAATTATTTAAATCTATCCCTTCCCCTCAACCATTGAAAGCTGGTCAACGACTTGCTATGAAAAACCAAAATAACAATAGAACCTAACAAACTAATCAACTAACTTCTCAAACAGCTCTTAACCACTCTAATTATCCTTTATTCTATTATCCTAAACAACCTTAGATCGGTTGGATCTTCTGATCAATATGTGATATGTTCCCCTAATACTTGGGCAGTGTTTTTAGGTGGTTGATATAATTTGATGACATGACTTTTGCAGTTAAGTTATCTGTAAATATCGAGAGGATTGAATTGATGGTTGATTTTTAATTTTGAGCTGGTTGTCTATTTTGTTGTTTCTCTCACAGCCTTGCTGCATTTGCTTATATTAATTGTATTGATCTATTTGTATATGTTAATGCAGGGTAGTGCCAAGAGACTTATCAAGGCTGCCTTGCAGGAAGCAGCTAGAAAACGTGAAATGCGATACTCAGATCTTCGTTCAATTGACAAGAAAGTTCGACGACATTTTCATGATGATATAACTGTTATTGTTTTATTCTTAAACTCTGACCTTATAACTAGAGGTACAGTTCAAAGCCCGCCGCTGTCAATTCGAAGTGCTCTCAATCACTGACTTGTATGATTGTAAGCATGATTTGTTTTGATACGGGTATTCTGGCAACAGTACCAATACTTAGAAGATACACACACCACACCACTGGCACGTTGCCAGAATACACAAACAGCAAACCCTTGGTAAGAATAGTGCCGGCAAGTATGGTTACTGATATTGAGATATAACTGAGATGACTTATTGGTGAAACTCTGATTTATAACACGTTAGAAATTTATGCATGAAAATGACAGAAAATGATTAAAAAAAATGAAACCAGAAAAATAAGTTATAGTTTAGTAATTCCCCAATCCACTTTTACATGATATTACTCAATGATTGACCAAATTTGTCTGTTCATTGAACAAGGTTATATGAGCTCACGGAGGCGTGTTGAGTTAATGTACTCACCTTTATCAGTGACCATAGGAATATTAAATTTTTTATTTTTATAATTGTTAATTGAAAAAGTGGGGATAATTTATTTAACAGAAATGAAAATTAGTCACATGTTTACAAAACTTATCTTGTGGGTTAAAATATCTTACATGTTTGTGGTGCCCTACCAATGAATTTTAATTATGTTACATATTTTGTGAGAAATATTTTAAACAAAATCCAAACTAAGTTACTCTTAGATGGTAAATTTATAAAATATATATGAACTTTCAACAAATCGAAATTAACAGGTCATTCTATTAATTATGCAGTTTAATTAATTTTTTTTATATTATGTACTTGAGGTAGTAAGAACTTTAGGCACATGATTCAAATTTTGGGTTTATTAATCTCATCTTTTAATTGAAATCTAATAGTTATGATTAATAGTTTAGTGGATAAGTGTTGATCGTGTTAATTATTTTTGTTTTATCATTAAAAAAAATTAATTATTTCGTCATGTTTACGCAAATGTAAGATTAGTTTTCTTTTTAACTTCGGTCTTAGGACTTACTAATTTGAGGAAGAAAATTCTATCTTACTTGGGTGGGTTCCATTTAAAATTGAATAAAGTTTTGCATTGACCGAATTGTTAATACATATCGAGATTTAAACCTAAAATCTCAAGCATTCACAAATCTGTCAACCTCTAAGAGTTCCCCTTATAATTAATAGTTCGAGCTGTTAATGATAGGTTAGAGTTCTCGCATGCCATACTAGTTGTTCCTATATTCTCGTTATCAATTAATATAGGCTGATAAAAAATACTTCATGGGTTTTTAAATATCATATTCGATTATATCATAGAGTCAGCTTCAAAATATGGCAATCTTAATTTAAAAAAAAGTAAAATAGTGTCTTAATCAATTATGAGTATTTAATTGATTAGAAAGTGTATATAATCAATTCGATAGTGTATATAATCTTAAACATTTAGGAACATTTTTTATCAACCCCACAGGTATCTTAATGGTTCTTTAGTGAGGTGAAAATATTTTTAATGGTTCTTTAGTGAGGGGAAAATATTTTTAGGTGAGTGTGTGCATTATCTTCTAATTTAAGAATTATTCTAATATTTTTATAATACTCGAATCACTCAAATACGAGCGCTAGCGTGCTTTTACACTTTTTCTCTTTTACAATCTTTAAATTTTAAGAACCTTTGTTTGATTTATCATCGATTCAACACTTTATTTGAGATTTGACTTCTTCTATCTGATGAGGTTTAATAGACATAATCATTAGAGATTGTTTGATCAAAAATCATAAAAAATTTCATCAAACGCCATTTGATATTTGGTATTGTCTTTAGAGAGACTGTCTTTAGACATCTTGATTTCACAAGTAGTGCAACTTGATCATCATGATTTCAAATGAAAATTTTATATCATGGTTTTGCTATTGACTAGTGTAGACACTATACTTACAAACACATAAGTTCACAAACTTTTCGTAAAAATTCATCCACAGAGTGAGTTGAATTGAGATTCTTGTCAGTAAAGTTTCTATAAAATTTATCTTCTTGCTTTTGTCATTTAAGAAGTAAGTTAGAATAAAGGAAATGTTAGAGGTTGGACTCTCTGAGGTGTCATTATAGTGATGATGATAAATATAAAATAATATCACAAAAACAACAGAAATAGCAAGCACGCAAGAGCAAAAAGACGAAGAGAAGGGTAAAAGGAATGAGAAATTAGCTTCCTTTTTTATATGATTCTCTTAATTGATTGTGGCATTAATGTCAATCAATTGAATTGATTGATTGGTGGGGCGCGCAAATGTCGTAAAACAAAAGTAAGTTTATAATTATCGTATCCACATAAATTGATAGTTTTAAAAGTTTGTTCGATTTTAAGTAGAGAAGATTTTTATATTTTTTTGTGATGCTTGAAAGTAAAAAAGAAAATAAATGGCAGAAAGTAAAATAAACATAAGAAAGTTTACTAGGAGGTAGATTTCATCATTATGTATATATCATGCACAATCATAATTCACTAATATGCTTATGGCTATTAATAACACTACTTCTTACTCTCATTTGTATTTTTTACTAGTCTCAACACCGTGAGATCAGTGTATTACTTAATAGTCGATATCTCGATCTACTAACAATTACTGAGCATTAACATGCATTAAGATTAAAGAGTCATCAATATTAAAACTCGAATAGAATTACATAAAAAGTCATGACCTATTTTTACATGAATATAATGCCTACATCTAGCTTTGAAAAAAAGATATTTTTAGCCATGCTTACTTATATTAGCTATATCAGTAATCCTGCAAAGCTGAGCTTGAAAGTTTATCTGTCCTGTCACCTGAATAACGTTTTCGCCCTTGAACTTCCTCTCTTTATATAATCCTTTAGTTGATATTTTAGAAGATGCTTCATTTAAATTTTTCAATGAATTTTTGGATGAAGTTTTTGAAGATGAAGACGTTTCTTCAATTTTACAACATTTTCATGTGATGCTACAAAACGTTTATATGTTAAACTGAACTTTTAATATAATAATTCTTCATACAACTTTTCTGATGATGACTTTTGATGATTATCTCTCAAACGCTTTTTTTTTATTATGAAGATTTTTTTGGATGTATTTGAGTTATTTTTCTTATTTTAAAGCAATTTAATTAGTTCTCTAAGCTTCATGGTGACATCCTTTTTTAATCTTTTCTAAAATTCATCAAAAACTTTCTTATTTTTAAAATCAAGGATTGAATCAGGTTTATGATAGAAGTTATTGAATCTTAGTTATTTTTCAAAAACAAAATTTGTGAGATTAATTTCATTATTTGAGAACCATATATCACTAGTTCTTGGTGTCCAATTTTTTTGATACGTGTGTTTACTCTTTCTATGTTAATTGAAACTTCATATATTTTTTAATGGGGGTTTCACACTTTTTTAGCCAACTACAGTTAACAACATGACAAAACTCTCTAGTGATTACCGCAATGGTTATCAAGTACTTAGAATGAAGGCCAAATTGCACTTTTCTTTTATGGCCCACAAATAATTTAGTTTGTCTATTATTTAATTATTAACAAAATAAATAGGGACAAAAATCCATCTAAAATCAAATTTCATAAATCATAACCAATATGTTTTTATTATCTCTTTTCATATATCAAATCTTTCTCTATCAAGTGTTGTAGGTGTATTCATAAAAAGTCACTTGTTAAAAGAAGAAGTATTTGAAGTCATCATACTACCTCTTGAAGTGATAAATCTTATAATAGGAGTTGATATGATGTATACTTGTTGATCAAGTGACTCCAAATACAAGAGAAATAAGGGGAGTGAATTATGTTGATTAAAAATCTAAACCAACTTATACATTTTTTATTACCATTTATTTCAACTTTGATAATCACACAAAGATAAGCCAATGGAAATAAAGAAAGAAGATGGAGATGAATACACAACAAAAATAACATAAACAACAAAAATAAAAGAGAGAAGAGATATAGATAGTGCAATGGAGATTTATATAGGTTTGACCTAATCACTTTCCATACTCTTGTTCCCAAAAATTTTCTTTTAGAATTTCACTAAACACACTTGAGTTTTTTTTATAGGATTTGCCCACAAACCGTAAAAAAAAAAGTGGCTAAGCTCAAGAACCAATATATATTGCTTTTACGCAGACTTTGCTCAAAACATTTTAAATATAGATTTTTACACACGACAAACTCAAGAACAAACAACTTGAGTTTTTATAAAGGTTAAGCTCAAGAACTTACAATCAAGTTTTTATATGAATTTAGATTGCAAGCTTTACAAATAAATCCACAAGATAATCAGACTCTTGGATACTACAAACTAAAACACAAGAACTACGATAGTAGAATAAAGATAGAAGATTTTCTATTCAGAATTTTCGATGTAGGATGAAGTGAGGAGAAACCTCCCTTATATAAAAAAATATTTGGTTCAAAAAAAATGATCCATGAGACATTTTAACAACTTAATTGGTTAACACTATATGGTAATTTATTAAGGGCTTTAAAAATACAACAACCCTAATCCAAAAAAGAAAACCCTAAAATGGATAGGTAACTTAATTGATTAAAAGATTTTCTAATTGATTAAGAGTTCATTTATCTTGCCCTAATTGATTGAACCAAGTTCTTAATCGACTAGACAATGTAAAACCTTTCTAAATTTGTTTAGAAATACTTGATGAATTTCATACAAGCTTTGATAAGTTTTAAAAATATTATGAAATAAGAGAGGACTTAAATTTTTTTTCAATGTTCATGTGTGATTGCCTCATTACTTCAAGACTTTCTCTTGACCTTTTACATTTTAACTTACCATTCTAAGATACGAAATGCATGATAGTGCGAGTTTTCACACTTTCACAGGTTAATATCTTCAAGTTCCATTGCTTGATATAAGAATGAATTGACACTTCAATTTGAACTTGAATCGTTTAACTAATGAGGCTTGAGACATATTCTTTATAAGGTGACATTATTCAAAGCTTTACTTTGACAATCGAAATTAACTCCCCATATCGTAGATAACTCTCAACATCTATAAGTCGTTATCTTCAAAATTTGTTGGTTCATGCATT